GAATGGCCTCTAGGGTTTTGGATTATCTGTATCTCAGCACTGCTTTGATGGTGCCACATGGAGAACCGACCAGCAGCTCTGACATCTGCAACCTCATCATAAAATGGGATAATAACTAAGCCTCACCAGGTTGAGGATTAAATGAGATAATACATGTAAATGTTTAGAAATGTGCCTCGTGCATGGTAAGGGCTCAATAAGAAATGTTACTTATTATTATTACTACTCTTCTAAGTATTGTTTTCTGTAGTTCTCATAACAGAGCCCATCTGACCTACTCAGATTCTGACATGAAAAAGCTCAAAGTGAAGAATTCCGAAATGTTAACAGGGGAGTGGACTTGAGGAATTAGAGGTGTTTTAATTGTCATGTTTTCCCACTATCCAGGTTTTCTAAATGTTTTCAACAATAATTGGAGGGGTGGGTGGGAATAAAAGATGTTTAAAAAATATACAGCCCTAACTTCTTTATTAACCTTAAAGAGTCTTACGTTAGAAACAGTGTTCTCCACAGCAGAGCCTGGAGACTCCATATATGGGTGGCTTGGTTGCCTATCATGAGGGTGAGTGGCCAGACCCCAGTGATGCTGTAGGGCCAGCCTGGAGGATGGAGCAGCCAGAGTGTCAGGCACGTGTCTTGGCAACGTATCTTGGGGTGTCTGTCTCTCTTCTGTCTTTGTTGCCTTGAACCCACAATGACAGGGAGAGGAAGAGGGTGACTGGGGTCGAGCCTTGAGGACTTTCCTCACAAGAAGATGCCACCTACTCTCCCCTCTCAGAGCCACTGTGGCAAAAGGACTCTGGCAGAATGGAGGGGCAGCAGGGGTAATGATGGCTACTTCCCCGGGCACTGGATAGAGAGGGCCTTCCAGCTGCTCAGGCCCCAAAGCCTGTCCCCCAGACCCCTGAAGCAGCAGACATTCCTATCACCCTCACTTTGTAGTTGAGGAGGCTGAGACACAGACAGGTGAGGTGACTGTTTCAACCTCATACAGTCAGCAAGTGGCCGAGATGACCCCAGAGCACCTTCCTACAAATC